CAAAGGACAGGAAGGGGAAGACCTGGTGGGGAAGATGGGGGGTTAAGGGGCGAGGGAACTGGAGAGTTGGGCAGGGAGGGAGGTGAGGAGAGGGCAGGGCAGGTGTGCACCGCAACTGGCACCCCACAGCCCATGTCCAGCATGGCTCGAATGCGCTTGCCAAAGGACAGGAAGGGGAAGACCTGGTGGGGAAGATGGGGGTTTTAAGGGGCGAGGGAACTGGAGAGTTGGGCAGGGAGGGAGGTGAGGAGAGGGCAGGGCAGGTGTGCACCGCGACTGGCACCCCACAGCCCATGTCCAGCATGGCTCGAATGCGCTTGCCAAAGGACAGGAAGGGGAAGACCTGGTGGGGAAGATGGGGGTTTCAGGGGCGAGGGAACTGGAGAGTTGGGCAGGGAGGGAGGTGAGGAGAGGGCAGGGCAGGTGTGCACCGCGACTGGCACCCCACAGCCCATGTCCAGCATGGCTCGAATGCGCTTGCCAAAGGACAGGAAGGGGAAGATCGGTGAGGTTTGGGAAGGGTAGGGGGTAGTGAGAAGAGACCCAATAGTGCACTACAACTGCCACCCCACAGAACATGTCCAGCATGGCTTGGATGCTCTTGCCAAAGGACAGGAAGACAGGCACCGCTTTCTCCTCTCCTTGCTCCTCGCTCTTCTCTCCCTTCTCCTCGCTCCCCTCACTCGCTCATCTCTCCTCTCCTCTGTCTTCTCCTATCTCCTCTCCCCTCTATGGACTTGCAATAAGGAACTCCATGGCATATTTGAATTGCTACACTCTCTGCCGCACTCTCTGCTGCACTCTTTTAATTACACTCTGCTCTACCCCATGCTGTATTCGCTGTAAGCAGCCCCTTATGCACCTTCTGCAGCCAGGCGATGTACTTAGTGACGCCGTGCTAAATTGTGAATTACCATGTACTGTATGTACTCGTTATAAGCAGCCCTTACGCACCTCCTGTAGCCAGGTGATATACTTAGTGACGCCGTACTTAAACTGAGTCCCGCCGCCCGGGAATATAAACCTGTCTCCCTCAGGCTTGATCCAGTTCTGATCCGCCTTGTAGTTTGCAAGTTGCGTGTGCGGCACATTGGCAAACCAGATCTGGTAGGGAAGGGAAGGAGGGAGAGTGATTCACGAGCTGGGAAGGAGAGCATACACCTGGTGCCCCTTTGGTAGCGGCAGCAGGCAGCAGGCAGGAGGCAGCAGGCAGCACGGAGCACGCAGCAGGAAGCAAGCAGCAGGAAGCAAGCAGCAGGCACAATGGCACTCTATACTTACGCCCCCCATTCACAGCACACGTTGAGCACGCCACGCTCACCTGGTCTCTCGACTCGGGCCAGTTGACGTGAGCCTTGTACCCCTCGGGCAGAGGCAGCAGGCAGCGAAGCACACCGTCCTTCCCGGGGCAGTGCCGCTCCCGATGCTCGTAGTGGCTCGTCGACTTGAGTGCCTTGATAGCAGCCTCGTTCTCCAGGCACGGGATGAAATCTGGACCCTCCGTTTGGCACAGCGGGAACACGGGCGCCGAGATCTGCAGATTGAAGGCCAGGGCGGGGCCGGAAACGGATATGACGGGGGGATAAAAGGAGAAGATGTCGAAGTTTCTGAAACCGGACATAGGCGACACGTTTCTGACTGAGTCAAACTAGGAGAAACGGAAAACGTCAAATGTGAGAGTTAACGTCCGTGAATCCTCGTCTACCACGTCATTGAAACGACAGACAGGGTTTCGAGACGGGTGGCGGAATGCGGTCGCACCTTATCTTCCGCTGCTTCCGCCTCCAATGCGTGGGGGCCGTTCACGAAGCCCTGTACGCGGAAGGGGCAGGGTTGTGGGGGGAATGGAGGAACGGCGGAAGGGTCAGGGTCGTGTGACGAATGGGAATGGGGGAAGGGTCAGGGTTGTGGGCGAGATGGAGAGACAGGGTTGTGGGGCGAATGGAGAGGGGACGGGGAAAGGGTCCGGGTTGTTGGGGGAAAGGGGAGACCGAGGAAGGGCCGGGAACGATAGCTGATCCGAGAGGGCAAACGGGGGACCTAAACAAGGAGGATAGTACCGCCATTGACAAAAAAAAAACGGAAAAACCAACTCGGCATACAGTGAACGATTGCGCGGGTTCCATCGTGTCGGGGTCGGCCGTCTCCGTGACGTCATCTTCCAACAATTCCATCTCCACCGTTACACCTGACGACCGCTGCGGGTTGAACGCTACACTTGCCGGCTGACGGTCTACCAGTGACGTGACGACAACCGTCGACTCTATCTGCACGCAAGACGACCAGGGCGGAAATATCCGCAAGGAAAAGGGATTTGAGTGACCGACACGGGGACCCAGCCATGACTCTCTCTAGTACGAATCGACTTGAAGTTTTGCCGGCATTCGCTCCCGCTAGAACGACACATCCACACATTCCTAAGCGAACAAGGACGGCTTGTGACACATCCCTCCCTAATGCCTGCTGCGACCTCTTATTCCGCTCAAGAGCTATTTACGCCCTCTAAATTTTGCTACCACTCCCAGAAACATACGCAAGCCGGATAAACTATTCGCGAATCCAACGAGTTTGTCATGATGCTTCGACAGTCGCGACGGGACCCTCGTGGACTTGAGATGTAAAACATTAGAGTTGAAACAATCTGGAAAATAAACTCAACAAGATGCATATATCTTTCGCTCAAGATATTCGCGCGCGGCTGGAGAATGGTAACTAGGTACCTGTGATCTTCCTGGCGCCAGGAAGAGCCAGGCGGCTAGCAGGCACATGACGGCAAAAGCTGCCGTCGTGCAAACGGTGTTAACGACTTCCGGCGACCATGGCCGTTTTCCCACTACGGTCGGCAACCGTGCGATTCGCGTGGTCCACGTCAGCCTAACTGAATCGAACGGCTTCGCGACAAGAGACGCCATGAACGAAGTCCGGTCACGCTTCTTACTGGGTGTATCGCTACTAGGCTCAAGGCGTGCGCGACGCCTGCCGTTGAATTCTTTAGAAAACTGGAACATATCGGCTGCTTTAGTACGGAGAGGTAGGTAACTATTATGTCTGGCTCCCAGCAATCTAGGCTTTCGAAGCAACGGCTGTGGGTGTCGGAAGCCGTACAGGGACACCCGTGTCTGCCCTACAAACGAGCGTGCAACTACGAGGAGATCCTATTTTCTTGACTGCGGTTCGGACATCAGAATGCTGTCACCGAAAACGATCGTCTCGGTGGGACATGTACGTGGACATATTTGGAGCAATGGGAGGACATGGATGACACCGTACACCAGGGAGGAACAAACGGAGGGGGAAGGACAATGGGAGGAAGAATGTCTAGGGCGCGTCGGAGCTTAGTTGACGTCAGCGAGCGTTCAAGCAAGGCTCGAGGTTGCCCGGATAAACCTCGAGAGTATCACGGCGAAACAAAAATGAACTCACACAAATTCCCCTCCGGAAAAAAAAAAGCATTCTAGCTGCAGCCTGCTCGGTTGGCAAGCCATCATCCCAGGTTCCCCGTCCACTAGTTGGCCGCGCGTCATGCATGACACGACGCGCCGGTTCCAGCACTCCAGGGACCATCGACTGTACAGTCGCCGCACCAAAACAGGCTTGGGGGACGGGTGAGGTAAGGGGATCCAGGCCAGGCGGTTTGGTTGGGGAAAAAGTTGCTGTGCAGAGGAGTCGTGGAGGGCCGAGGCGCTGTATTGTGACATTGAGATGAACGGTGGACATTTGGCCAAGGGAAATGTCTCAGCACAAAACTCGAGCCGCCGTGTTGAATGGCAACATTTAATGATTTCCAGCAGTCCAAAACATGGTTAAGTAAGATTTCATCTATGCTCTCACATGTCAGGGTGGCCGAGTGGTCTAAGGCGCCGCACTCAAGTTGCGGTCTCGAAAGAGGCACGGGTTCGAACCCCGTCCCTGACACTAACCACGCGTTTTTCCGCGCCTCACATGGTGGTGACACCAAGTTGACGTGCTCACGTCACCATCACCCATGAGTTTGTCGCTCCGCGGTGCGATGCAAAGCATTGCTTTTCTATCCCCAGCTCGTTGAATCCAAAACACCGAATTATAAAAAAAACAGCAGGCAGCCTTTAATCGTAGGTAGATTTATCACTGCTGCGATCACATCTGGTGACGGCATTTCCCAGCACCAGCCTCTAGATTTGTCAGCTTCTCCGATCACATCTGGCGGAGTTTCTAGCTCTGTGGGTCCTAGATTTCAGTTTCTCTTGCAACTTGTTGCCGCACGCCGGGTATTTATGCATCGGCTAGACGATTCCGGCAACCTCTAGGCTTGGCAGCTTCGATTCTGAGCTAATTTCAGAGGCGGCAAACATCCTTACGTCACAGTCTGCCAGTCGATTCAAAAGTAATGCTGGGAAGATTGTTCGCGCCTAGAGCAACCATTCCACTATTTCTCGCTTGTTGCACGCGCCTAGACGGTTGCACGCACTTGTTGCGCGCACCGTAGGCCACATCGTGAGCGCCGCTTCCAGCCAATGGCATCCTTCCACGCGGCTGCTCGGCCGGCGCGCTTCGCCAACAACGCGCGCGCCGCGGACCAGCCAAGAGCGAGATCCGGCGCGAATCAGGCGACGACACTCCTCGTAGCCACCTCTCGTAAGTCTGCCAAGTCGCCTGAAACGACTTCTGAGACGTCTCAAACGGCGGACCCGCCAAGCGCGAGATCCGGCGCGAATCCAGCCCTGAAACTCCTCATAGCCTCTCGTAAGCCGCGTAAGACGTCTCTAAACCTTCGTAAATCGCCTAAGTCGCCTGAAGCGCAGCGGAGAGCGCGGTGGCGCCACGAGCCACAGCAGCAGCAGCAGCAACAGGGAGAGCAGGGGGAGCAGCAACAACCGGGCGAGGGGGCTATAAGTCAAAGCTCGCCCGAGCAGGGAATGAAGCCGCCGGTTCTGAAGCGCCTCGGACAAACCCAGCAGCAGAGGAGCAGGCAGCAGCAGTTTGAGCTGCGGATTTTCTCTGACAGACGAGTGAGCCGACAGATGTGTCATGTGCATCCCATAGGTGTGGGATCCGAAGTTCCCGCCTCGTCAGCGCACCGTGTCACGTGGGAGACGGAGGCATGGCAACCCACACACGAGGAGGAAACGCGGCGTCTGACGCGCGAGGAGGAGATTAAGTACACGCGGGCCGTGCAGGATCTGCTGAGATTAAGGAGGTCGCGAGAGCGGTGTGGCGCGGTTGAGTTGTGTTCGTTTCCGGATTCGCAGCACGTGGCCGTGTCTGCTGATACGGCTCATGAGAAGACTAGGAAGGGGGAGGGAGAGAGGGAGGAGTGGGAGAGGGAGGGGAGGGGAAGGGAGGGGATGGGAAAACTACTGGATGCGAATGGTGGGATGGTGGTGGGTCTGGCGCGGAGATATGCGAGCAGGAGAGTGACTGTGGGGAACCTGATCGTGGTAAGATGTGACTGTAACGAACGAAGGGTGATTACATTTCAGGTGATTGAGGTGAGGAGTTGCATGTAAAGGGATGGGATGGTGGTTGGTCTGGTGCAGGGATACAGGAGGAGGAAGTGACTTTCAGAATGTTCATCACGGTTAGAGGTGACTATAGTGAAGATTCAGGTGAGGGTATATTTTAGTGAGCAAAATGATACATATTGTATGGTCGATTTGTTTGCAGCGAGATGAGATGTTAGGTGGGTTTATTGTTATTTGTGCTGTCGTCATTATTGTTCATCAGGTTTAAAGTCACTCTTTGTCCCTAAAATATTGTCTGTTTTTATGTTGTATGCTTTGTCTCGTCGCTGCAACAGGCGGGATACGGGGGGCTTATAGAGGGGATAAAGAGATTCAATCCTGACCGTGGATTCCGGCTCTCCACGTACTGCTATTGGTGGATCCGACACAGCATCATCCAATCAGCCGTGGACCAATCTTCCATAATCAAGCTCCCTGTGAGTGCCACGTGGCACATACATGCACGTGGCACATACATACACGTGGGACATGCATACACGTGGCACATACATACATACATACTGGAACATGCACATGTCCTTGACCACATGCCATAATCCTTTCTCATACCCATTTGGACGTCGCTAGTTCATTCCTTGCCTTCCCATTGACACCTCAGCTTTTCGCGTCATGTTCAATAAGGTTCAATAAGGTTCAACAAGGTTCAATAAGGTTCAATAAGGTTCCTGCCCCTCTCCCCCCTTTCCATCCCGCGCTCTCCCTTGCCCTTGTTTTCCCCTTCACCAACTCACCCTCCCAGATTTCCCTCCTTCCAATCCCCCTCCTCCTCCCTCCAGGCGCACTTGTACTGTCAGCAACATGCTCGCCTGCCATCAACGCGCACATCCATTCCCCCATTTTCCCCTTTCCCCCCGTTCTCCTCTTTTCCCTGTCTTGTTGCCCCCCTCCTTTCCATCGCTCTCTCTCCATTTGCCTGCCTTTCCCTCTTCGTCTACTCATCCTCCCACAATGTTCTTTCCATCCAATTCCCTGGTTCCAATCCCCTTCCTCCCTTCAGGCGTACATGCACCGTCAGCACATGCTCGCCCACCGGCGCCCCGCACCGCCATCCACGTCAGCACCGCCGTCCACGTCAGCACCACCGGTCGAGTCAAAGCAGAAGCGCGGACTCACCCCGGGATCTGTGCGCTCTCCTCGGTCTTTGGAAGGGGACGTGGGGACAGGGGAGAGTCTTGGGGTGAGTGTTGAGAATGTGACTTTGAGTCAAGTCAAAAGTCACTTTGGAAGGGGACGTGGGGACAGGGGAGAGTCTTGGGGTGAGTGTGTGAGACATAGGTCATGTTCATTGAGTGTACAAGCGTGTTCCATAGCCTTGAGCTTACCATGTACCATGCACCATGCATTATGTACCACGCACCATGCACCATGCACCATGCACCACACACCATGCACCATGCACCACGCACCACGCACCATGCACCATGCACCACGCACCATGCACCATGCACCATGCACCATGCACCTTATACCATGCACCATGTAACATGCGTCATGCTTCCTGGTCTATAATCCTGCCCCTGTAAAGCAAATCGCCCTTCTGCTTTCATGATCCACCGTCCAATTCATCACGTTCAGCCCACCTTCCCCTCGTCCCCCAACTTCCCCCACCTCACTCAACTCCCCCCATTGAACTCCCCACCTTCCCCCTTCCCCCCCCTCCAGCCCACCATCCCTGATCCCACTATAGAGTGCCCCGGGACTCGTTACATGCAGCATGAGCTGCAGGGCGCATTGAAACAAGCCATTCTCAGGCTCTCACACCAAGAGTGACCGTAATCTCCCCCCCTCCCCCCAATCCCCCTCCTCCAGTCCACCATCCCCGACCCAGCTATTGAGTGCTCTGAGACGCGCTACATGCAGCAGGAGGTGCAGGGAGCGCTGAGGCAAGCCATTCTCGGGCTCTCACCCAAAGAGCGAGCCATCATTCAACTCAGATTCGACCTGCCAGAATCTCTTCTGGAAGATTGCCGCCCGGCAAATTATCTCCTCAAAGGTTGCCGCCGGGCTGATCCTCTCCTCAAAGATTCGCTCCAGATGGATGGCTGCTCGGCTGATTGCAACTGTGGGGGCAATGGGCTTGGGGGCGGCGCCGGGCAGCAACAGGGGCAGCAAATGATCGTGGGCTGTGCAAAGCAAGAGGGGGGGCATGGTGAGATGCGGAAGAGCGTGGAGGAGGTGGGGGTGATGGTGGGGTTGACTGGAGGGCGGGTGCAGCAGATACAAACAGCAGGGTTGGGTAAGATGAGGAGGAGCATGACAGGTTGGGAGGGGTATGTGCATATGTGGGGGAATTGAGAGGGGTGCAGTGGGATGTCGAGTGAGGTGTGCAGTTGGTTTTTGCGGGGAGGCGTGCAGTGACATGAGTGCGTGCAACCATAGGATTATGCTGTTCATGTATAATGGGCATAATTCAATATACGCATTGTGTATATATTGTTGTGATCTTTATAACATTTCACAGCTTGTGGAGGAGGTGGTGTAGCGGATTTCCCTTCACATTGTCTCAGGGATTTTGAACTTGCCACCTACTAAACTCTCTTCTGCCACCTACTTGTTCTGATCTCAGTTGTTCCTATCCCATCTATAGGCTTTTTGTACCTACGTCTCTACAATGACAGTTTAACTCGATATGTCTTCATGTCATACCTAGAATTGAATATACAGCAGAAATATTTGGAGTACACAAGGCCAACAGGACACTAGTGCGTGGCAACTAGTGAAAGACAGGGACGATGGGAGGTTCTATTTACTAGGCCAACGGTGGATGAGAACTTGAGAAGCTGGGGGGGTGGATGGATGGAAGGAGTGATCTTCGGTGATAGGGTGCGGGTAACAGTGGGTGATAGGAGTGGGTGATAGGAGTGCGTGGGTGCTGCCAGGCATCTGTGCTGACAGGGTTGGCGGGTGCAGGGTGGGTGTGGGATGGGTGTGGGATGGGTGTGGGATGGGTGCGGGTGATAGGAGCGATGGTGGGCAAGTGGGATGCGCTCCAGGGATGGGTTTGCAGGTAGGATGTTGGGCAGCGGGATGGGTGTGGCTGATTGTGTGTGTGCTTGTGCCTGTGGCCCTATCTATTGCTTCTACTCCAGCTATGAGATGCTGCGTCAACCATCCCCTCTAATGCTTGTGCTCGTGCGCGTGGTGCTCCTTCTCGTGCGCATACAGCTCCTCCTTGTGTGCCTTGTACGATGCAAACTCCTCAATCCAGACTCGTGCACTTTCCCCTGCCTCTTGTTGAAGCGGTCCCCTCCTCCCTCTAGTGCTTGTGCTCGTGCGCGTGGTGCTCCTTCTCATGCGCGTGCTGCTCCTCCTTACGTGCCTTGTCCGAAGCAAACTCCTCCATCCAGTCTCATGCTTCTCCTCTCTTCCAATGCTCCTTCTCCTCCCTGCTCTCCTTTGTGCCCCCCCCTTTCCACATCTAGTGCTTGTGCTCGTGCGCGTGCTGCTCCTCCTTATGCGCCTTGTCTGATGCAAACTCCTCGATCCAGTCCAGCGTGATGCTCTTGGGGCGCTCGATGGGGAAGCCCAGGGCACGATCCCACACGAGCTGCAGGTAGGGGAAAGAGAAGGAGGAATGCAAGCGGGTTAGATACAGTGATGGAATGGAATGTGTGTATCCAGTCAAGGGCGATGCTCTTGGGGCGCTCGATGGGGAAGGCCAGGGCGCGATCCCACACGAACTGCATAGGGAGAGATGGGAGGGAAAGGAGGTAAGGGAGGAAGGGAAGAACAAGAAAGGATGTAGAAGTCTGTGATGGGATTTGTCTGTGTCCCAAAACCCGCTGCAGGGAGGGGAGAGGGGAGGGGAGAAGGGAAGAGTGTGGCAAGGCAAAACATAGTTTAATAGAATGCACCGTAAGGGGACAACATTGCAGGCAAGGGAGTGAACAGTTTTGGAGGTCAGTGTCTCAGTGACAACAACCCAACTGTGACCAGACCTGAACTTCACCTGAGAGTAGCATAGCTCTCCAACAAACCACCTGAGGAAGCACATGAGAGCAACAGACCCACCTGAGAGAGCACTCCCATGGCTCGTGAGACGCCAAAGAGCACGGTGTAGTAGCTGGAGGGAGGGGAGGGGGCAGAGAGGGGAGGAAGAGGCGGTGGGGAGAGAGAGGAAGTGGGGGGACAGAGAGGGGAGAAGAGTAAATTATGAGTCACCGAAAAATCCCCTTGAAAGGTGGGAAAGAGCAATGTGTACAGGGGAGGGGGGGTGGGTGGGGAGTTTGGAAAGAGGAGAGGAAGTGGAGGGAAACAAAAGTTGGGGAAGAAAAGGTCGTTCAGAGACAGATGATATGACGAGCAGCACTGAGCAGTGTGCACGGTGCACAAGGGGGTGCAGCACTAAACGACAAACGGAGCCACCCACCTGGCTTCAGCGAGACATAGTGCTGCAGCAACACACACTAGACGACAGACAGGGCTAGGAACAGTAAAAGACAAGCTGAGCCACCCACCTGGCCTCGGTGAGCCCGTAGTGCTGGAGCAGCACGCCACTGTGCGCGTCCACGTTGGGCCAGGGGTTCTTCACCTTGCCCGTCTCGAGGAGAATATGGGGCACCACCTCGTACAGGTTGGATACCTGCAGCAGAGAAAGGGGATTAGGTGGAATAAGGGAGGAAAGGGGATGAAGGGGCAGTGATGGTGCGAGCATACAGGTTGGATACCTGCAGTGAAGGGAGGCGAGAAGGTAAATGAGTAAGAAATGGGGAAAACGGCCCCAGTGATGCTGTGCGTGTGCTTGTTGGACGAGATTGGGCATAAACCAGAAAGAGGAACAGATTGGACATGATATATTTAATGACAGCAACTCACGAGGTTGAATGTGGGATCATGGGGCAGCTGCTTGAGTGATAGCTGGTGCTGGCAGCTGTAGCGCGGATCGGTCACCCTCAGAACCGCGTGGCCTTCCCCAGCACCACCTTGGGAACTCCAAATAGAAGAACTACGCACTCACCAGCTTGCATGTGGGGTCATGCGGGAGGTGCTTCAGAGAAAACTGGCGCTGGCAGCTGTAGCGGGGGTCTGTCACCCTCAGCACTGCAGGACCATACCCCGGCACCACCCCAGGAACTCCAAAATTCAGAGCATCTCACTTACCAGCTTGAAGGTGGGGTCGTGGGGCAGGTGCTTGAGCGCGAACTGGCGCTGGCAGCTGTAGCGCGGATCGGTCACCCGCAGCACAGCATGGCCATAGCCCGGCACCACCTTGCCGCTCTGCAGCGTGCGCCACACAAAGTCCCTCAGCTCATCCTTGCCTGCTTCCTCCCCCACGTCTGCCTCGACTTCTTCCAACCACCGCAGCACCTCCTGTAATGGGGAAAGGTTGGGGGGCAGAGGGTGAAGTGGAGGTGGAAAGAAGAATGGAAGAGAAGAAGGGGACAGAGGGGGTGAGTTGAGGGTGGGAGGTAGGTGAGCAAGATGGGCAGTCCAAGTGCTGCTGCTGCAACTAGGCTCGTCTATTGCAATGAGCCGTTTTAATTCCCACTGAATCATTGCATTTATGAGAAGGGCGGGTTGGAAGAGCACTGGTGACTTGCCTGATTAGCGAGGTGACTTTTGAGTCAACTCAGAAATCAAATCATGAGAAGGCCGTGTTGGAAGCGCACTGATGACTTGCCTGGTTAGCAAGGCCGTGGAGAGGACCCGCGAGACCGTTGAGGCCAGCAGCGAAGGAGAGGTAGGGATCGGAGAGGGCGCTGCCCACCTGTTGGGATGAAAGAGCAGTGAGGAAAGGAGAGGAGGGGAGGAGGAGGAGAGAGGAGGGGAAGAGAGTCGGGGCAACAGAGACAGGAAAGAGAGAAAGGGGAAAAGGAAAGAGGGAGTTGAGGTCAGCAGCGAAAAGTGGTAGAGGTCAGGCAGTCAGGTCCGAGGAGAATGGGAAGAGAGAGACAAGTGGTGGAGATGGGCCAGGAGGAGATGCTCAGGGTCAGGAGTCTACTGTGGTCAGGTGAGATTATGAGGAATTTACTTTTGAGGAGCCTCAAAAGTAGACTGTGGTGTGGTGAGATGATGAGGAGTTGAGGGGAGAGGAAGTTGGCGAGACAGTGCAGGTGGGGATGGGAGGGGGGCGTGTGGGGAGAGGGGGGCGAGGGGACGAGTGGGCGAGTGGGCTGGGCACGACAATAAAAACGGTCATGACAGTTGCTCGCTGACGTGCTCTCACCAGGTGGGTGGCGTGCGCGCTCACGTTGCCTCCCTCGTGATCCCTGCTCGCCATGAGTCATGCACACACGAATGGACATATATGCACACGCACACACGCGCATGCACGCCCGCACGCAAGCACACACACGCATGCATGCATGCACGCACAAACAATGTGCATGCGTGCACACACACGCACACATACACACACGGACACAAAGGCACACAGAAGGAAGGAGCATACACAGTTGATTACACACACATGCGATGCCGTGACACGGAGGGCGAAGGGCAAAGAGACTGACAGGTGAACGTTCAGGGTTCAGAATAGAGAATGCACTCACGTGTGGATGGTGAGGTAGAGGCACATAAGGTCGTGGAAGTGCGGTACGGAGAAGCCCAGCACGTGTTCAGTTGAGACCGACAAGCAAAAGGCAGAGGGGGCACTCATATGTGTTCCAGGCTTCAGGTTACTAGATGAAGGGCAGGGCTCCAGAATAGGGGAAGCCACTCACGCGTGGATGGTGAGGTAGAGGCGCATGAGGTCGTGGAACTGCGGGTCGTTGAATCCCAGCATGTGGGCGAAGTTGGCGGCGTAGTCAAGCTTTTCGTTGGGCGGAATGATCTTGCCGTCCTTGAAGGTGTGCCGGTAGATGTGCGCCGCTACCTGGTGGGGTTAGGGGTTTACGGGTTGGGGGAGTCGCAATGCAGTGAGGTGAATGGGAGGAGTTGGCGGCGTAGTCGAGCTTGTCGTTGGGCGGGATGATCTTGCCGTCCTTGAACGTGTGCCTGTAGACGTGCGCCGCCACCTGGTGACTTTTGAGTCGACTCAAAAGTCACCTTGAACGTGTGCCTGTAGACGTGCGCCGCCACCTGGTGGGGTCAAGGAGAGACGTGGGGTTGAGGGAGAGACATGGAAAGGGGAGGGGCATCAATAAGAATGCTCAAAAGCAGCACACTTGGGTGAGATGAAATTTCCGTTCCTCATGAACTCCTGCTGTGTGCTACCACCACATGAGAGTAGGGGTTTGGATGTCTGTTCGCCACTTGATGACAGAGGTTAGAGATCTAGCGGGTGCCAGTACTTGCTCTTGGGCATGCCCTCGCCTCGTGGTACTTGGCATGTATAGGCCACTCACTCATCACCAACACGGGGCGCACGGCTCTGTACCCACCTGGGGGAGCGTGGCAATCAAGTCAAGCGCGTCTTCAAAGCCAGGTGCCAGTACTCGCTCTTGGGCATGCCCTCGTGGTACTTGGCTGGCATGGGGCGCTCAATCATCATCAGCACTGGGTACACTGCATTGTACTGACCTGGGGCAGGGTCGCAATCAAGTCCAATCCAGGGCGTCCTCATAAGCGAGGTGCCAGTACTTGCTCTTGGGCATGCCCTCGTGGTACTTGGCTGGCATGGGGCGCTCAATCATCATCAGCACTGGGTACACTGCATTGTACTGACCTGGGGCAGGGTCGCAATCAAGTCCAATCCAGGGCGTCCTCATAAGCGAGGTGCCAGTACTTGCTCTTGGGCATGCCCTCGTGGTACTTACAAGCATAGGGCACTCAACCATCAACACGGGGTGTACTCTCAGCACACACCTGGGGCAGCACGGCAATCAAGTCAAGAGCGTCTTCATAAGCGAGGTGCCAGTACTTGCTCTTGGGCATGCCCTCGTGGTACTTGGCTGGATTAGGGCACTCACCCAGTGACTTAATCCCCTACCATCTCACCTGGGGCAGAGTAGCAATCAGATCCAAGGCATCCTCGTAAGCGAGGTGCCAGTACTTGCTCTTGGGCATGCCCTCGTGGTACGCGCGGGCGAAGCGGCTGCCCTTCTGCAGCGCCATGACGCCAATGGAGAGCTGCGTCATGGGGTGCATGTCCCTGGGGAGGGCGTTCAGCACCGTGTGCACGAACTCTGGTGGGGGGAGAGAGGGGGGAATGGGGAGAGGGGAAGGGAAGGGGTTGAAGAGGAAGAGGCTGTCCTTCTGCAGCGCCATCACGCCAATGGATAGCTGCGTCATGGGGTGCATGTACGAATCGGGGATCTTTCAAACACCCACAACCCATACGAGACGTACCAGGAAACTTGATAGCCACGCCCCCTGCCAGATGTACCAGGCAACTTAATACCCACACCCCCTGCACAACATACCAGGCATCTTGGCTCGCTCGTGCAGCTCATGCGTCACTGTGGCCGCCTGCTCTCTGGTGGGCACCTGTATTGGGGATGAGGGGGATGGCAGGGCGCAAATCGACAGTATTTTAATTTGGCTCAGAACACACCTCTGGCGTCAATGAAGCCGCCTGCTCTCTGGTGGGCACCTGTATCGGGGACGAGGGGTTGGCAGGGCACACAGCGGACGGGAAGCGGGTGTAGAATCTGGAAGGGTGAGAGCGTTTGCGAGCGAGGGAGTGAGTGCGTCCGTGTGCTCGCTCCCGCGCGTGTGTGTGTCTGTGCGTGTGTGCGCGGCGCTCCTCGCCGCCGGTGAGCAGCAGCCAGAACAGCCTCGGGCATGGGTTCCCTGTCGATCACGGCCTCAAGCAGCAAGCGTTGGTTCTCGGGGATAGGCGAGAATTTGTCTACATGTGTGTGTGAAATGTTGCAGGTGGTCTAAGTGTGTGCGAGTGCCCACACGCACAACACCCCCCCTCTGCGTACCTCGCCTGTCAGGAGCAGCACGGCCTCAAGCAGCAAGCGTTGGTTCTAGGGTATAGGCGAGAACTTGTCTACATGTGTGTGTGAAATGCTGCAGTCGGTCTATGTGTGTGCGAGTGCGCACACGCACAGCACCTCCCCCCTCTGAGTACCTCGCCGGTGAGCAGCAGCCAGAGCAGCCCCTCGGGCATGGGCTCGCCATCGATCACGGCCTTGGGCAGCAGATGCTGGCACTCGGGGATGCTGTACCCGCGGAACTTGATGCCCTGGGGAAGGGGGAGTGGGGGCGGGGGGAAGGGGAACAGAGGATGGGGGCAGGCAGGGGGTCAGCGGGGCAGAGAGGAGGGAGAGGGCACTCGCCGTCCACCACGGCCTTGGGCAGCAGGTGCTGGCACTCGGGGATGCTGTACCCGCGGAACTTGATGCCCTGGGGAAAGGAGAAGGGAGGAAACAGAGGATGGGCGCGGGGAAGTGGGGAAGGAAACGAGGGCGACGAGGAGGGGGGAGGCAATGGTGGGCGCATTCACGCGATTACTGCGTTGTTCATGCTGGGAGAGGCACTCAAAGCATGCAGCTCTCTGTACGGGGTCGAGCTGTTCTCTAGACTAGCTCACAACTTAGCTCTGCAATCCATGCATTTGCTACATAACTACTCCGGGTCGAGCTGTTCTTTAGAGTGACTCAGGCCTAACCAGTGCAATCCATGCACTTGCTACATACCTGCTCGATGCTACATACCTGCTCGGGGTCGAGCTGTGACGTCTCCCACACCAACCCCTTCACCCCTCGCATTCCTCCGATCGCCTGCTCGCACAAATCACCAAGATTAGGACGGAAATCAGGAACGAAGATGAGCAATACAACCACGTGTGCGTAGCCGCACGGCTTGAGCGCAGCTTCGCTCGTAGAAAGTATAGTGAGGAGATAAATGCGACACGTTTGTCAGATCAAAGCGGTAATCCGACGAGACTGAGGGGGCGAGGGAGAAAGGGAGAGAGCGCGGCTCACCATGTTGACGGTGACCTTGCCCATGGACAGGTTGCCGTAGTGCGACTTGATCTGCCGAATCCGCTCCTGCTGCTGCGGCACCACCTCCTGCAGCTTCGCGTGCAGCTCCTGAAACGCACACGGCGGAAGAACGGGAGGATGGAACGGGTGCGAGAACGCAAAGCATTTCAGATGTTTAGCGGAATCTGCCCTTGGGCAGCGTCGATTTGTACGCCAGACGTGTAGTGGAGAGCGGAACGGTTTACTTTAAGATTAGTCATGGCAGGGATCAGGAATGGAAGGGATCAGGCATTGAAAGGATCACGAATGGGAAGAATTAGGCATGGCACGGTCAGGCATGGAAGGGATCAGGCATGGAAAGGATAAGGAATGAAAGAAGGCATAGAAGGGATCAGGCATGGAAAGATCAGGCGAATGCGTGGACCGCGACGAAAATCCATACATTCAGCATTTTCTAAAATCTCATCCGGTACTTGCTGTCGCTTACCGTGGTCAATGGGCGAAATGCCTGGTTAAAGAGCCGCGAGAAACTCCCATCCTTCTGGCTCTGACATCAGGAAAGAAACAACATTGGCTTAGCATGCGATATCGCACGGAAATTATGAAAACATGACAGACAGCTGACTTTGTAAGCACATATTAAGCAAATGATTTTCTTATTCTAGTGTTCTGCCTGCACAGAGGAGTAAGCACGACGACGCAAATACCCACCCTCTTCACGACGTTTGCTGCCCGAAATAGACTCCGCGAGAACGCCATGGGTGTCAGGCAAGCCGGGAAATCGACCAGCGAACACGAGACACAGTCACTCGGGTTTGCTTGCACCCGGCTGCTACGCTCTCTCTGGATGTGGATTGCCTGACAAAAATTTGAACATCAAGCAAATACCCAGGACCAGGCTAGGACCTCAATCTCTGATGAATCCTGATGAAGCCAGACCATATGTGTCTGTTGTAGTGTCCTCCTTGTTGGTTCTGTGCTGTGCCCCGTATAGGAACAATTGCCCGGTAGAGTTTCTCGCTGGGCAAGCTGCAGCAACAATGTTGCCACTTGGCAAGTTTTGGTTGCTTGAAAGGCCGGAGCCTGTTTTGGTCAAATCGGGTTCTTTGGGAACCACGTGGGACAGCGGTGGCAGCGATTCCAGTGATTGGTCAATATACCTCGAGAATACAGTACAGCACACCAGGGAGTCTCAGTAGTAGGCGCGGCACTTCGTACGTGGTTGGTTTCCGATTTGAATGGCCCGGTATTCTTGCGGCATTTCACATTTGGCTAACGAGGGTAGTGTATGGACCATATTACACGTTTTTCTGTGAGCAAAAAAAATCATCCATTATGCGAACAATCATTTGCAAAAGCAAGCTTCATCACATGGCACAACACAAGGGCATGTCATATAGTTTGCTTTTCTTCAAGCACTACCCGATGTCTTTTCTGAAGCAAACCAAATGCTTATGCTACACCTTAGTAGCGACCCTTCGCCTTGTTGGCCTGGTAAAACAAGTGGGTTGAATAGGGCAGACGACGTGCAAAGAGTCAGATGAATATGAACAGATGGAACCATCTTAAACAAGCAAACAAACCAACCAACAAATGGCAGGAAAACAAATTGGGCTATCAGTACTTACGGAGACACGTGTGAGCCTCTTGCCAGCCCCTCGAGGCCGGTTTCTGGGCTCCTTGAGGCGATAAATGCGGACCATCCAGTGCTGCGAAGTGAACACCTGCAATAAGATAAATGGGGTTAATGACCAAACAGCCCATACTTTTGACATGGAAGTTTCTAAACATAAAGCAGACACAAATGTGGGAACGACGACGTGCAGCTGTGACAAGAAGACGAAATGTCATGCACCCAGATTCTTCCTCCTTGATTTCCATCACTTGACCATTAGAAGGAGCAGCCGCAAACACAGATTAAAAGGAGAGTCTACAACTCCACCCACACCAACCTGAAGCCACTGACCACCTTGAAGTGAGTTCTTGGCCTTCTCCGTATGCCGTTTGAGTTGCAAAGGCTGAGCAGCTAAGCGCATCATCAGCAATTATCCAGCTCCCAAGGGGAACATAGATATTTCTCTCACCTCCTCAAAGTGCGTGAGCTTGATGTTCTTCTTGCCTATCTCAGTGCGCCTCACTCGGTCAAAGCCCCTCCCGTCCACCTCTGCGAACCTGCCGGCACCAAGCACGAAAAAAAGACACACCCAGGCACATATGTGGGGTGATACGTGCTACAAGTGAGAGAGTGGCTGAGGAAAGCTGTTCATACGAGTAAGCTTGTATCGAGTACACCTTGTACCTGGAGCAGGAGAGCTTGCACACGAGGAAGTTGTGCAGACCTAAAGGTAAGCAGACAAGGAGAGCTTGTACAATTGAGGTACATCAAGTACATTCCATGCCTAGGAGGAGGGCTTGTCTTGTACATGAGGCAGTGGAGCAGAGCTACAAGCGAGTGAGCTTCTACTGAGTACGTGTCTTACCTGTAGTAGGAGAGCTTGTACATGAGACAGTTGAGCATGGTGCTGGTGGCCTCACCATCCACCCGGTAGTTGCCGTTGTTCTGAGGGGGAGAGGGGACAGGGGGAAGGGGAGACAGGGGGGAGGGGGAGTGGGGGAGGGCGGGAAGGAGCACATGAGCGGCTTCAAGGCACGGCGCTGCTGGCCTCTGCTTCCACTCAGCAGTTGCCGTTATTCTGGCCGGGAAAATGGGGAGGCGGGGGTACGAGAGGGGGGTGTTGTTGAACGGAGAGGAGGAAGGGAGAGCAGGTCCTTCGAGGTTCCTGTGGTGCTAGTAGCCTCTGCATCCATACGGTAGTTGCTGTTATATATGGTCGGGGAAGTGGGAAGGGGATAAGAGGCGGGGAGAGCGAGGGTGGGGGAAAGGGGATTTCATTCACAATTGGAATTGGGCTCCTCGATCATCCCCATCCCCATCCCCATCCCCATCCCCATCCCCATCCCCATCCCCATGCCCATGCCCATGCCCATGCCCATGCCCATGCCCATCCCCATCCCAATCCCAATCCCCATCCCCTCCATCCCCATCCCCATCCCCATGCCCATGCCCATGCCCATGCCCATGCCCATGCCCATGCCCATCCCCATCCCAATCCCCATCCCCTCCATCCCCATCCCCATCCCCATCCCCATCCCCATCCCCATCCCCATGCACTCACCAGGTAATCGGGCTCCCTGATTCGCGGAAACACGCCGCCTCCAATCCGCACCATCCACAGGAACTTGTTGATGTCGTCGCTGGGATAGCCCACCATGCCTGTTGGACAGGGGGAGGGGAAGAGCAGACGGGGGAAGAGGAAGAGCACAGAGGAGGGAGGGAGGGAGAGGGGGGGGGGGCAGGAAGCATTGTGTGAGTGGTGCAGGTGTTGCAATGCGCACCATCCAGAGGTACTTGTCGATGTCATCCCTGGGGTACTCATCCCTGGGGTACTCATCCCTGGGGTAGCCCACCATGCCTGTAGAGTAGAGTGGAGAATGGAAAGCGATGGGTTGGAGGGGCAACGGTGCATAGCAGAGACTGTTATCTAGATGTTGATCCGCAGTGTCCGCATGAACATGTTGACACCGTCACCAGGAGAGCGTAAGAGGCCCTGAGGGAGTGCAGAAAGATGGGAAGCAGAGGGGACAGACACCGGGGACGTGGTGGATGGTGCATGCGTCCGTGTCCTCAGACGTCATGGCCATGCATGCCCACACGGTGGCGATGTTTCAGACGTCTCAAACAGCGTCTCAAAGTTTTGAGACATCTTAAAAGGCACAGGGGACGTGGTGGATGGCGCATGTGTCCGTGTCCACACGGTGTCCAGACGGCATGGCCATGCATGCCCACACGGTGGCGATGAGTGTGTCGTTCCATGTGTTGTGACATCCCTCCCAACACCCAACCTCCCAACACCTAAAAGCCCGCCTTCTAACCAGCACTCCCAATACATGCATGACACGTGCGCTTGCCGGCCTACCTCTGAACACCGCAAAGACGTATTTCACTTCACATCAATGGATCGATAAATCGCCCACGCGTCCTTCTCCCAACATGACATGGCCATGCCCACAGTGGCGATGTGTGTTGTTCCACATGTTAGAAGTGCACGTGTGCCACTGCCGACCCACCTCCGAACACAACAAAGACGTATTTCACATCGATGGAGCGATAAATCGCCCACGCGTCCTTCTCCCGCGATGACATGGCCATGCCAACCGTGGCAATGTGCGTGTTGTTCCACGTGTTGTTGTCCACGATCACCGTGCGGTTCGCCATAGCGGTTGTCTGATAGCCATAGTCCCACCACGATGCCACCTGGTGGGTGTTGTGTGAACAGAGGATTGGGAGGGTGTGTGGGAAACGGGGGCGTGCAGCGATGTGTGTGTTGTTCTTTGAGACATCTCAAAACACTTCTAATTTCACGTTGTTCCACGTGTTGTTGTCCACGATCACCATGCGGTTCGCCATGGCTGTTGTCTGATAGCCATAGTCCCACCATATGCCACCTGGTGGGGGGTATAGCATGGGGGAAAAGGCGTTTGAGAAAGGGAAGGAGGGAAGCGAAGAGGGGCATGTGGGGAAGGGAGGGTGTGTGGGGTAGTGCTATGAGTGCTATGAGTGGTACACAAATTTTGAGGCGCCTCAAAAGGTAGGGTGTGTGTGGTAGTGCTATGAGTGGTACACACACACAAGAATGGATAACCCACCTTGTCATTGACATCTGTGTTGTGTCGCAGCCACCCATGCGCCTCACGGAAGTCGTCAAAGATGTACTGCCCGCCGTGGTTGGTGGCAGTGCTGGCACTAGTTAGAAGCAGTGCTACTGACGGTACACACACAACAACAGATGTTGGTGGGAGGGGACCCACCTTGTCGTTAACGTCCGTGTTGTGGCGCAGCCACCCATACGCCTCACGGAAGTCATCAAAAATGTATTGCCCTCCATCGTTGGTGGGAGAGGAGAGCACGATGGAAGGCGCTGAGTACGCGTCTGCTGCCGCCCACACACAGTGCATCTGCGGTGTGATGCACGTGGAGGGTGGGGGTGGGGGTTTGGGTGGGTGGGTGGGTGGGTGGGGGTGCATGGTGGACCAAGGGAAAAGGGGAGGGTGAACAGCCATGGTTTGCCATTGATGGTGAGAGAGGACGGCACTTCGCATGTTAGTGCCACGAGGCATGAGAATGATGCTCACTGCTGCAGCATCGTGCTGCTGTGCGATGGTGCATAACACATGGTGTGGAATGTAAACGAGTTTTGAGTTGCACGAGCACCCACTCACCGTGTAGAAGGCAAGTCCCACGAGCATGAGGATAATGCCCACCGCTGCAGCAGCATCACATTGTGCAGTGTTTTATGAGACACGGCGTGGACTGTAAACGACCTTGAGTCAACTCAGAACCAACTCACCGTGTCGAAGGCAAGACCCACGAGCATGAGGATAATGCCCACCGCTGTGGCATCGCCCGGCACCACCAGCAGAAACTTCCTCTTCCCCAATGTGTAAAGCACAAGCCCAATCCTGAGACTGAAACACCTCTCAACTCACGGTGTAGAAGGCGAGACCAACGAGCATGAGAATGATGCCCACCGCTGCAGCATCCCCCGGCACCACCAGCGGAAACTTCCCCTTCGCCTTCTCCTTCTCCTTCGCCCCCTTCCCCTTCCCCTTCCCCTTCACCCCCTTCTTCCCCCCAGCGCCCGCAGCCCCCCCTGCAGGCTCCTCGTCAGACTCCCCCCCCTCCCCCTCGCCCTCCCTGCCCTTCTTCTTCTTCTTCCCCGCTCCTGCCTTGCGCTCCTTGGCCTGGCTCGCCTCGCCAGTCTTGCTGGTGGCCTGCAGCGGTGGCAACAGGGGTTCATACGGTTCATGAGGTCAATGAGGTCAACCAAGTCAATGAGAGTACCAGTAAGTGACTCACCCCCCCCTCCCCCTCGCCCTCCTTCCCCTTCTTCCCCGCTCCCGCCTTGCGCTCCGTGGCCTGGCTCGCCGCCTCGCCAGTCTTGCTCGAGGTCTGTGGTGTTAGGGTGGATAGCACAACAATATCGATTTTGCAATAAGGTCAATATATTTTCCCCCTTCCCCCTCGCCCTCCTTGCCCTTCCTCTTCCTCGCCCCTGCTGCGGCCTTGCGCTCCTTGGCCTGGCTCGCCGCCTTGCCAGTCTTGCTGGAGGTCTGTGGCGTTAGGGTGGATAGCACAACAAGATACAACAAGATGAATTTGGTCAATAAGGTCAATAACTTCCCCAATTCCCCCTCGCCCTCCTAGCCCTTCTTCCACCACCCCCCAGCTGCCTTGCGCTCATTCTCCTGGCGCGCTGCTTCGCCAGTCTCCTCCTTCTCCCCCTTGTCCTCTTCGGCAGCAGCATACGCCAGGTCGATGAGGTCAGAAATAGAGGCCTTGACAGAGCTCATTTCACACTGTAACCTACCTCACATACGGACATACTGCACATCATATCCTCCTTTCTCTCCCTCCCTCTCGCCTCAGCTGCAGCAGCAACAGTCGTCTCCTCTTTCTCCCCCTTGTGCTGCTTGGCAGCAGCATACGCCAGGTCGATGAGGTCAGCAATAGAGGCCTTGGCAGAGCTGACAGACCATTTCCCACTCGCCCACAAAATACATAAACATTACGCTCTCCTTATTCTCCCTCTCTCACCTCAGTAGCAGCAGGAGCAGCCTCCTCCTTCTCCCCCTTGTCCTGCTTGGCAGCAGCATATGCCAGGTCGATGAGCTCGGCTATAGAGGCCTTGACGGAGCGAGTGAGCACGTCAAAGAGAGCGCTGACTGCGATGCCCGCCGTGATGCACGCTGCTGGCGCCAGCACCAGCATCAGACGCACCTGAAAGGAGGAAATGTGGAAGTGGGAGAGAGACAGAGAGAGAAGCAAGGGAGCGAGGGGTGAAAGGACAGAGGGAGTGAGGACGTCCAAGAGAGCGCTGATTAAGATGTCCGCTGTGATGCACACTGCTGGCGCCAGCACCAGCATCAGACGCACCTGGGGTTAAGGGGAGAGAGAATGGGAGATGACTGATGCTGGGGAAAGGGAGTGAGAGAGGAAAGGAGGAAGGGAGTGGGGATGTCAAAGCTGAGCATTGACTGCAACGCCTGCCTGCCCGCTCTGACATGCACAAGTCATTGACTCACAAATTAACCACCTTGATTCCATCCATTCACCGCGAGGCAACTGCATCGACTCACCCACAAATTCATGCAGCCAGCCATGACCCCATGGACTCACCATGTCTCCGGAGAAGTACACAGAGACGACAAGGTAGAGTTGTTGCATTGACTCCATTGACTCCCAGACCATTGACCCCATTGACTCCCATAACATTGACCCCATTGACTCCCATACCATTGACCCCATTGACTCCCATACCATTGACCCCATTGACTCCCAGACCATTGACCCCATTGACTCCCATACCATTGACCCCATTGACTCACCATGACTCCAGAGAAGTAAACAGAGACGACGAGGTAGAGGGCCACAAAGGAGCTTGCGTCTGTGAGTGGCAGGAAGCATGCCTGCAGCAACGAGGGGGTCGGGTTCAGGGATGAATGATCAGGTTATGGAATCTGGGTTCAGGGTTTGCACAGGGACGACGAGGTAAAGGGCCACAAAGGAGCTCGCATCTGTGCGCGGCAGGAAGCACGCCTGCAGCAACGAGGGGGTCGGGGTCAGGGGTCAGGGGTCAGGGGTCAGGGGTCAGGGGTCAGGGGTCAGGGGTCAGGGGTCAGGGGTCAGGGGTCAGGGGTCAGGGTTCAGGGTTCAGGGGTCAGGGTTCAGGGTTCAGGGTTCAGGGTTCAGGGTTCAGGGTTCAGGGGTCAGGGGTCAGGGGTCAGGGGTCAGGGTTCAGGGTTCAGGGGTCAGGGTTCAGGGTTCAGGGTTCAGGGTTCAGGGTTCAGGGTTCAGGGTTCAGGGTTCAGGGGTCAGGGGTCAGGGTTCAGGGTTCAAGGATAAATCTTGACAAAGGGGTTGGTGTTCGTGAGGGACAAGAAGCACACCTGCAGCAAGGAGAGGCAAAGAGGGCAAGAGGTTTTGAAATCCGGGGGTTGGGAACCAAGCCAAGACGCTGCAGCTGCAGTGCTCGCTCGAGGGTGAAAAGAAGGTCAGAAGCTGCTGTGCTTACAAACGTGTGTGCTTACGGGGCGAGTAATGCGGGGAGCTGCAGGTCCATGAAGTAGGACGTCCACATGGGCGGCTGGAGCTCGCCGTAAGGGGCTGTGGTTGAAGGAGCTTTCTGCACTCGAGTCGGATGCTGGCCAACTGGGCTTCTGAGCATGAGCATGAGCATGAGCCCAGACAACACACGGATTGCAATGCTTACAATGAGGCCGGCGGGGGCGAGGAAGGCGAGCAGCAGCAGGTCCATGAAGTAGGACGTCCACATGGGCGGCTGGCGCTCATTGTGAGGGGCTGGTGGTAGGCTTCACAAGTGTTGGATTGGATGGAGACAGTGTGCTTCCAAACATGTGTGCTTCTGGACGTGCGTGCTTACAATGAGGCCAGCGGGCGCAAGAAAAGCGAGCAGCTGTAGGTCCATGAAATAGGACGTCCACATGGGCGGCTGGTGCTCGCTCACACTGGCGATGATGGGGATGTACTTGGAGGCGTATGTGCTGTGGTGGATGGGGGGAGAGAAGGGGGGAAGGGAGAGAGGGAATGGAGAGGGGTGATTAGAGCACTGCAAGAAACCTTGGTGCTCGCTCACACTGGCGATGATGGTGATGTACTTGGAGGCGTATGTGCTGTGGGGAGGAAGGGAGGGAGGGGCGCAATGGGAGGTGTAGGGGGTACAATGTCAGAGGTGAGGGAAGGGAAGGGAAAGAGGGTGGGGCGCAATGGGAGGCGTAGAGGGCGGATTGGCAGATGTCTTGAATTCCTGCTGCTCGCTCACAGTGGCAATGATGGGGATGTACTTGAATGAATACGTGCTGTGGGGGAGAGAGAGAAAAGAAACGGGATATAGAGTGGGAATGTGGGGAAGAGAGAGAAAAGAAACGGGATATAGAGTGGGAATGTGGGGGAGAGAGAGAAAAGAAACGGGATATAGAGTGGGAATGTGGGGGAGAGAGAGAAAAGAAACGGGATATAGAGTGGGAATGTGGGGGAGAGAGAGAAAAGAAACGGGATATAGAGTGGGAATGTGGGGGAGAGAGAGAAAAGAAACGGGATATAGAGTGGGAATGTGGGGGAGAGAGAGAAAAGAAACGGGATATAGAGTGGGAATGTGGGGGAGAGAGAGAAAAGGCACGGGATATAGAGTGGGAATGTGGGGGAGAGAGAGAAAAGGCACGGGATATAGAGTGGGAATGTGGGGGAGAGAGAGAAAAGAAACGGGATATAGAGTGGGAATGTGGGGGAGAGAGAGAAAAGAAACGGGATATAGAGTGGGAATGTGGGGGAGAGAGAGAAAAGAAACGGGATATAGAGTGGGAATGTGGGGGAGAGAGAGAAAAGAAACGGGATATAGAGTGGGAATGTGGGGGAGAGAGAGAAAAGAAACGGGATATAGAGTGGGAATGTGGGGGAGAGAGAGAAAAGAAACGGGATATAGAGTGGGAATGTGGGGGAGAGAGAGAAAAGAAACGGGATATAGAGTGGGAATGTGGGGGAGAGAGAGAAAAGAAACGGGATATAGAGTGGGAATGTGGGGGAGAGAGAGAAAAGAAACGGGATATAGAGTGGGAATGTGGGGGAGAGAGAGAAAAGAAACGGGATATAGAGTGGGAATGTGGGGGAGAGAGAGAAAAGAAACGGGATATAGAGTGGGAATGTGGGGGAGAGAGAGAAAAGAAACGGGATATAGAGTGGGAATGTGGGGGAGAGAGAGAAAAGAAACGGGATATAGAGTGGGAATGTGGGGGAGAGAGAGAAAAGAAACGGGATATAGAGTGGGAATGTGGGGGAGAGAGAGAAAAGAAACGGGATATAGAGTGGGAATGTGGGGGAGAGAGAGAAAAGAAACGGGATATAGAGTGGGAATGTGGGGGAGAGAGAGAAAAGAAACGGGATATAGAGTGGGAATGTGGGGGAGAGAGAGAAAAGAAACGGGATATAGAGTGGGAATGTGGGGGAGAGAGAGAAACGAAACGGGATATAGAGTGGGAATGTGGGGGAGAGAGAGAAACGAAACGGGATATAGAGTGGGAATGTGGGGGAGAGAGAGAAACGAAACGGGATATAGAGTGGGAATGTGGGGGAGAGAGAGAAAAGAAACGGGATATAGAGTGGGAATGTGGGGGAGAGAGAGAAAAGAAACGGGATATAGAGTGGGAATGTGGGGGAGAGAGAGAAAAGAAACGGGATATAGAGTGGGAATGTGGGGGAGAGAGAGAAAAGAAACGGGATATAGAGTGGGAATGTGGGGGAGAGAGAGAAAAGAAACGGGATATAGAGTGGGAATGTGGGGGAGAGAGAGAAAAGAAACGGGATATAGAGTGGGAATGTGGGGGAGAGAGAGAAAAGAAACGGGATATAGAGTGGGAATGTGGGGGAGAGAGAGAAAAGAAACGGGATATAGAGTGGGAATGTGGGGGAGAGAGAGAAAAGAAACGGGATATAGAGTGGGAATGTGGGGGAGAGAGAGAAAAGAAACGGGATATAGAGTGGGAATGTGGGGGAGAGAGAGAAACGAAACGGGATATAGAGTGGGAATGTGGGGGAGAGAGAGAAACGAAACGGGATATAGAGTGGGAATGTGGGGGAGAGAGAGAAACGAAACGGGATATAGAGTGGGAATGTGGGGGAGAGAGAGAAAAGAAACGGGATATAGAGTGGGAATGTGGGGGAGAGAGAGAAAAGAAACGGGATATAGAGTGGGAATGTGGGGGAGAGAGAGAAAAGAAACGGGATATAGAGTGGGAATGTGGGGGAGAGAGAGAAAAGAAACGGGATATAGAGTGGGAATGTGGGGGAGAGAGAGAAAAGAAACGGGATATAGAGTGGGAATGTGGGGGAGAGAGAGAAACGAAACGGGATATAGAGTGGGAATGTGGGGGAGAGAGAGAAACGAAACGGGATATAGAGTGGGAATGTGGGGGAGAGAGAGAAAAGAAACGGGATATAGAGTGGGAATGTGGGGGAGAGAGAGAAAAGAAACGGGATATAGAGTGGGAATGTGGGGGAGAGAGAGAAACGAAACGGGATATAGAGCGGGAATGTGGGGGAGAGAGAGAAACGAAACGGGATATAGAGTGGGAATGTGGGGGAGAGAGAGAAACGAAACGGGATATAGAGTGGGAATGTGGGGGAGAGAGAGAAAAGAAACGGGATATAGAGTGGGAATGTGGGGGAGAGAGAGAAAAGAAACGGGATATAGAGTGGGAATGTGGGGGAGAGAGAGAAAAGAAACGGGATATAGAGTGGGAATGTGGGGGAGAGAGAGAAAAGAAACGGGATATAGAGTGGGAATGTGGGGGAGAGAGAGAAAAGAAACGGGATATAGAGTGGGAATGTGGGGGAGAGAGAGAAACGAAACGGGATATAGAGTGGGAATGTGGGGGAGAGAGAGAAACGAAACGGGATATAGAGTGGGAATGTGGGGGAGAGAGAGAAAAGAAACGGGATATAGAGTGGGAATGTGGGGGAGAGAGAGAAAAGAAACGGGATATAGAGTGGGAATGTGGGGGAGAGAGAGAAACGAAACGGGATATAGAGTGGGAATGTGGGGGAGAGAGAGAAACGAAACGGGATATAGAGAGGGAATGTGGGGGAGAGAGAGAAACGAAACGGGATATAGAGTGGGAATGTGGGGGAGAGAGAGAAAAGAAACGGGATATAGAGTGGGAATGTGGGGGAGAGAGAGAAAAGAAACGGGATATAGAGTGGGAATGTGGGGGAGAGAGAGAAAAGAAACGGGATATAGAGTGGGAATGTGGGGGAGAGAGAGAAAAGAAACGGGATATAGAGTGGGAATGTGGGGGAGAGAGAGAAAAGAAACGGGATATAGAGTGGGAATGTGGGGGAGAGAGAGAAAAGAAACGGGATATAGAGTGGGAATGTGGGGGAGAGAGAGAAAAGAAACGGGATATAGAGTGGGAATGTGGGGGAGAGAGAGAAAAGAAACGGGATATAGAGTGGGAATGTGGGGGAGAGAGAGAAAAGAAACGGGATATAGAGTGGGAATGTGGGGGAGAGAGAGAAACGAAACGGGATATAGAGTGGGAATGTGGGGGAGAGAGAGAAACGAAACGGGATATAGAGTGGGAATGTGGGGGAGAGAGAGAAACGAAACGGGATATAGAGTGGGAATGTGGGGGAGAGAGAGAAAAGAAACGGGATATAGAGTGGGAATGTGGGGGAGAGAGAGAAAAGAAACGGGATATAGAGTGGGAATGTGGGGGAGAGAGAGAAAAGAAACGGGATATAGAGTGGGAATGTGGGGGAGAGAGAGAGAAAAGAAACGGGATATAGAGTGGGAATGTGGGGGAGAGAGAGAAAAGAAACGGGATATAGAGTGGTAATGTGGGGTTGCGCCTCCAAGAAAGTCATCATGCAAGGCAGCAGTCAAATCAACAAGCAAGCAGCACTCACGGGTCGAGAAGGCTGAGGGAGCGACCAGTCCAGCCCAGCGTGGGGCTGGCGAGCACCATGGCGACGAGAGCAGAGAGCAGCGCCACTGCCGCCACTCTGAAAGAAGCAAGGAACAGAGGAAGAGAGGGAGGGTGGTGGAGAATCAGGAAAGTGGGCAGACATCTTGATGGCATTGCAGTGCTGTGAGGTGGTCTCTCTCTGTAACCATGGAAAACTAAATACGCGTGAGTGAAGGAGAGAAGGAGAGGGTGTGAGCGAATGAGTCCATGAGAGAGCGACAGAGTGAGGGAGAGAAATGTACGCGCCGACCGAGACGATAAGGGTGAGTGAGTGACTGAGTGAATGAGTGAGGCGAAGGAGTGAGTGAGGGGGGATTGCGAGGGGGACGCACGTGCCGACTGAGACGATGAGAGTAAGAGCAATGCGGAACGCCTTAGCGGGCAGCAGTGCCTTGATGTAGTAGCTGAGTGCAGCGATGTGCAGCACCACAAACACCTGTGGGGGGAAGAGAAATTTGGCAATGTGATTAGCAAGAAATGGCATGCAAGGGAAGGAGTGCACGGGATGATGTGCAGCTGCCAATACCCCATGCAAGAGCGAGCTGCCAATACCCCATGCAAGAGCGAGCTGCACTCACCACGAACCCTCCAATTCCCAAGTGTTCAGACATCATGACAGCATGTTGTACAAAGGCCTGTCTGTCTATTACCCCTGAAAACACCCGTACCACAATGCATTGCATTGTGCCACGCAACGCACAAGCTGCACTCACCAGGAACCCTCCGAAGTGCTCAGACGTCATGACAGCGTTAAAGCCCACCACTGGCACCAGCGCTGCCAGCAACGTGCCGAGAATTATCTGCCAGGGACAGGGAAAGGGGGAGCCAGGTGCAGGGAGGGAGTGGTTGGCATGAAAGGTGAGTGCACAGGGTGCATTCAGAGGGTTGCAGAGGCGCTGAACCGCACCAGCGCTGCCAGCAACGTGCCCAGAATGATCTGCCGCGAGGCGGGTGGTTTGAGAGGTGCGTGGACGGAGTATACATGTGATGCTGGAGGCATTCACAACATGCACATTCAGATGGTTCATGAGGCGGCCTGAATTGCTGGTGACTGATGAACCATCAATTCACGAATGGTGCCCGGGGAATGGGCAGGGTTGGCTTCCAGGAATGGTGAAGCATGGTTGATTCAGGGCGTCCATTCCTGGAAGCAAACCCTGTCCATTCACGAATGGTGCCCAGGGTTGGCTTCCAGGAATGGTGAAGCATGGTTGATGAGGAGGAGCGACAACAAAGTGCTTACGAGCGGGGCGAAGGCGATGTAGATCGCGAGGAGAAGCGGCCGGTGACAGTGCAGAGCAGCACGTGGATGGGGATGAGGTTGATGCACGGCATGCTCGAGATTGCATTGCACTAAGGGGATGCAGCATCTCCCTTTCAAGGGGAGCGACGCATGAGGGGCTCACCAGGGGAGCAAAAGCGATGTAGAGTCTGGAAGAGAAGCGGCCGGTGACGATGCAGAGCAGCACGTGGATGGGGCTGAAAGCACGCATGCCCCTCAAGTGCACTAGGTTAAACCCCCAACTCGCTCACCAGAGGGGCAAATGCGATGTAGAGCCGCGAGGAGAAGCGGCCAGTGACGATGCAGAGCAGCACGTGGATGGGGATGAGGTTGATGATGAAGGTGTAGCCGCCCCACGACATGACCATGTAGAAATAGGCCGCTGCGTTGGCTGTGGCATAAAACAGTGATCCCGTGTTGAGGGTCTGGGGTGGGGTTGGGTGTGGTGATGGAGGGATTTAGGGTAGGAACGCAGGAGTAGCCGCCCCACGTCATGACCATGTAGAAATAGGCCGCTGCGTTGGCCGTCGCATAGAAGAGGGAGCTTGTGTTGAGTGTCTGAGATGGGGATTGGGGAGTGCAGCAAGTGCAGGGGCCATGATGGTTGGATGGGGATGAGGTTGATGATGAAGGTGTAGCCGCCCCACGACATGACCATGTAGAAAAAGGCCGCCGCGTTGGCCGTTGCATAGAACAGCGAGCCCATGTTGAGCGTCTGAGGTGTGGGGGGGAAGTGCAAGGGGTTTGGTGAACGAGGTTCAGGTTGATGATGAAGGTGTAGCCGCCCCACGACATCACCATGTAGAAATAGGCCACCGCGTTGGCTGTGGCGTAGAATAGTGATCATGTGTTAGGAGTCTGGGGAGAGGGTGTGGAGAGTGAAGGGGGATGGGGTCGATAAAGGCACACAATTACGGTCACACACAATCGGAAATCACACATTTGTTCACATGCGCGCACTCATTCCAATACACTTGCTCGCTCGCTCGCTCACTCACCTTGATGTAGAGGTAGAAGGTGAAGACGAGAGCAAAGATGGCCACCCCCTTGTTGTCGTAGCTGCCAGCCCAGTCAGCCACTCCCCACCCCCTTGATGCACACACACAATCACAAGCAGATGCCCACCCACCTACACATGCACAGTCCCCCACTCACTCACTCATTCCTCTCTCACCTTGATGTAGAGGTAGAAGGTGAAGACGAGGGCAAAGATGGCAACCCCCTCATTGTCGTAGCTGCCAGCCACGGAGCGAGAGATGTACGATGGGACCTGCAACGAGCAGGTGAGGAATGGTGCAAAGGAGCGCAGAGCGGTGAAGACAAGAGCAAAGATAGCCACCCCCTCATTGTCGTAGCTGCCAGTCACGGATCGAGAAATGTACGACGGGACCTGAAACGCACAGGTGAGGAGCGGTTCAGAGAGAGTGCAGAGCGGTGAAGAGGGAAACAGCATTGGCAAGCAAAAACCTTTAAAAAGACCAGCAGTCAACAGCACGATTGGCAACTCACCATGGCAATGAGCGCGGCAGCAGTGAGGCCAGCCCCCGTGCCCCGGACCTCCTTGGCCAGCAGGAAGGTGGCCCACGCCGCATGCGCTGAGAACACTCGTGCTCACGAGTTGACTCAGCAGTCAGCACCAGATGTGTGCTACTCACTCACCATGGCGATAAGAGCAGCAGCAGTCAGCCCCACCCCCGTGCCCCAGACCTCCTTGGCGAGCAGGAAGGTGGCCCACGTCGCATGCGCTGAGAAAACTCGTGCTCATTACCTGACTCACAGACTCAGCAGTAAATAGAAATAGAGTCCACTCACCATGGCAATGAGCGCAGCCGCAGTGAGCCCAGCCCCTGTGCCCCGGACCTCCTTGGCCAAGAGGAAGGTGGCCCATGCCGCATGCGCTGAGAACACTGGCGCCGTGAACACACACACTGTCTCCACTGAGAAGGGGAAGTTGAGAGCGTTGGCGAGCCTGAATCGGAAGGGATGTGGGTTTGGGGGGGATGGGAGGGATGGAAGGGATGGGAAGGATGGGAAGGATGGGGAGGGGAATGTATGCAGCACACACACACCGTCTCCACGGAGAATGGAAAGTTGAGGGCGTTGGCGAGCCTGTATATGGGGGGCGCAGCAGGTGGGCAGCGGGGAAGGGAAGAGAAGGGACGTGCTGTATGGACGGATGCAGCACTGGCGTCATGAACACACACCGTCTCCACTGAGAACGGGGAAGTTGGGGGCGTTGGCGAGCCTGTATGGGGGGGAGAGCATACGGGAAACGAGGAACACTGGCGCCGTGAACACACACACCGTCTCCACTGAGAAGGGGAAGTTGAGTGCGTTGGCGAGCCTGTATTGAGGGGGTAGCAGGTGGGCAGATGAGCGAAAGAGGAAAATCAAACTGGCGCCGTAAACCCACACAAGGTCTCACAGAGAAAGGAAAATCACGGCGCGTTGGAGAGGCTGTATTGGGGGGGGAAGGGAACGGGAGAGAGAGGGAGTCATAGGTACACCGTCCCACCAATGGCTCGCCATAATATTGACCCTCCAATCACCCCACGCCCTCGCTCTGCACTCACCACCACATGGTGCCAGCTGTGAGTGTGAGACCCGGGTACACCGTCCCACCAATGACTCCTCATGCCCTTATCTCACCTCACCTTGCACCCACGCGCTCGGCACCCCCTACACTCACCACCACATGGTGCCAACCGTGAGAGTAAGCCCCGGGTACACCGTCCCACCGATAAATCGCCGTGATCTCAACCTCCCATTCATCCCACACCCTCGACTCACCATGCGTTCCATGTCTTCTCTCTCTCACGCCCAATAGACTCACCACCACATGGTGCCAGCCGTGAGAGTGAGACCCGGGTACACTGTCCCACCGATAACTCGCCCCAGAGGGTACCTGCCACACGCCGAGAAAGCAAGAGGCCAAGAGAACAAAGGACAAGAGGCGAGCAGGGCAGGACACGAGAGTCATATCACAAGGCAACGGCTTGAGTCAGGCGGAGCGAAACAGCTGGGGGCAGCAGGGTATAACAACAACCATGGCAGCTCTCATCCCTCGCCATGCCATTTCCCATCCCTCGCCATGCCATTTCCCATCCCTCACCATGCCATTTCCCATCCCTCGCCATGCCATTTCCCATCCCTCGCCATGCCATTTCCCATCCCTCGCCATGCCATTTCCCATCCCTCGCCATGCCATTTCCCATCCCTCGCCATGCCATCTCCCATCACTCACCACGTGCGGTCATCAAACCAGTTCCAAAAGTTATAGAACCCCTCCTTTGAGAGAAACTGCGGCGTGAAACAGGGAGCGGGAGAGGAGGGGAGGAATTCAAAATGAGTGCAAGGATTCGCAAGCACAAATGTTCGAACTTCATCGCACAAGACGAGCACGAGCAATGGGACGCGTGTGCGAGGCATTTGGGATGCCACAGCGCGCAAGGATTCGCAACGACACAGGTTGAAACTTCATCGCACATGACGAGCACGAGCAACGGGACGCGCGGGGGAAGCATCGGGAGAACACGTAATGGGACGCGTGCGGGACGAATCAGGGATGCCACAGCGAGACAGGACGAGCACGAGCGAGCGAGAGCCAGGCCAAATGAGGCACCTGGGAGACCGGAATCACCTGGGTGACGCGGTAGTTGAAGTAGGGGTCGAACTCGTGAATGACGCTCTCATACTTGATCACCTGCCATGGCAGAAGGAAAAGCAAGGGGAGAAGCAAAAATTTAGGGGTGCCTCGAGTGTTGTACGCGATACTGGCAGCGCAGCGTACACAGTTATGCTCGGGAAACAGCTCATGAGTGGCCCGACCGTGTGTAGGTGTCAGAACGGGCGTGAAGGACGCGCGGGTAGGCTGAAAACCAAAGTTCTGCTAGATCAAGTGCGCTGAATAAAATCGAGCATGTGAGATCCAGGCCTGGCCGGACCATGATCGGATGAAATAGATTGGGTGGACTGTCCAGGCCAGGTATTCTCGGTTAGTGTGCGTTGCCGAGAAGTAGAGAGTGGAAAGTTTTGCCTGAGGTGAAGCATTTCCTTTGGACACGAGAGGTAAAGTTTGTGATCCAGATCTGAAGAGCTCCATACGAAGCCAAACCGGCAGTGAATCTAAGTGCCTGATCGCTGAACATCGGGTACGCGAAGTGGGCAAGACGACGCTTTTGTACGAAGTGGCTCGAGGCAGCAGCTTCGTATCACCGAATCGAATCCAATGAAATCGGCACTCTTGTGTTTCGTGCTGTTTTCTTGCTATCAAATTCACGACTAATTCTCTGAAATGTCACGGAGCTTAGCATCCTATGCGACGTATATTGTGTTGGGACCTTCTCGGGAACTCGTAAAACTAGCCTAACACATCCCAAAATATTTTTATTTTTTCACGAACAGGATCTGGAGTCTCACCGAGAAGAGGCGGATCGAGAACGCCATGACGCAGATCAGGACCAGCGCCAGGCCGCACAGCAAACCTCCCCATGGACCCTGGCGGCTCGCCGCCGCCGCCATTGCCGCTGAGAGGCGAAACGAAGGAAAATCCCTCACAGAGTTATCGAGAGTAGCACCGCCAGGTGGCGCGGCGAACGCAGAAATGCGTTGGAAGGAAGAAAGAAGCCAACCTACAGATCCAGTGAAGGGAGCTGCACAGCCGACAGGCGAGCATCAGAGATTTGAGCATCCTCGAGTTGCACGGATCGCTACAGTATACCACAGATTGGAACTGCTCTATTAGCTAGTGGCACATTGACTAACTATTTATGTGTACTAATCTGTGAAACTTGAAAATGCTAGAAATTCATGTATGAGATACACTCAATGCATATATTCCTATGAGATACATTGTTGATGTTTGTTGGAAACAATCGGTCTTAAGCGCCTCTGTCGTGTCGAAACACTAAGACACAAAAGAAACGAAGTATAACGAATCACCGGCGAGTCAACCCTCGGAGGTTGAAAGTAACTGTTGGAGGTTACGCGAAAGTCAAAGGTCAGCGACCTTTGACCTGACAAAGTACAGCGCGACAGCAAGGACAAACAACTGACTCAGTATTGAGCAGTTGCCCGAGTCGTCACTGTATCGAACCGCAACAGCAATAGTAAAACAATTATTAACTGTATCTCTTCGTATTCCTTGTACTCTTATAAAAGCTTGTATCTCTTCGTTTTAATCAACTTACTTTGCCCTCACATACTAGCGCAAGGTGGTTCACAACTCTTTAATTAACGCTTCCGCTACTACACCAACTCTACCCAGAGTTCACCCCTGCAAAGATCCTAAAGAGTTTTTTTTCAACCCAACATGGTATGAGAGCTATCAGGGGGAATTCAACTTCTATACCGACAACATCAACAAGCATGGCTACACAAAAGGAAAGGAGCAACTCCAACGGCTCCCAGGGCACTACTCCTACTCCACCTCCTGCCTCTGGCCTACAGACAGAGGAGGGCACAGCAACAAGACCCAGAGCAACATCTACCGAGACTCCCGCGAATCAACCTGCAGACTTCGACCAGAGCATGATGGAGAAGTTTTTCTCCTTCATGTCCTTCTACGAGCAACACCAGCAATCGGCACCTACGCAGTCACACAACAGCAACAACAACGGAGCAACACCCATGAGTCTCGACGGCTCATCATATGCACGAGGAAATCAACAACAGCAGCCTACCTTTGCTCCGTACGAGCGCGGGTCCATCAGCTTTATGCCACACCCACAGCCTTCACCTGGACAAGAAAAACCACTGGACGCATTACAAGTTCAGTCGCAGTTCGCACATGTTATGAAGATGCAGACGTCAAGACCCTTCGATGGAAAGGACTTCTTCACCTGGTCGTTCGAGTTCGAGCTGATGATGGAAGGCGCGCAGATACTCGGGCTCTTCGACGGGTCTCTGCCATACCCAACAAACGGCACACAGTACGAGAAGCAGCAGTACACCTATCAGTCAATGATGGCGTACACGATCCTACTGAGGAATATCACCCCGACTCAACAGCAGAACATAAGGTCTTACCGAGGTTACGGCAACTCCGCGGAGCTCGCGTACAACCACCTGAAGAGCCTGTATCAAGCAACACACAGCGTGAGCCAAAGTCGGTTAATGGCGCAACTAACAACGGTTGAAATGAAACCAGGGGAGAAAGGAATGGCGTATATCAGTCGATGTCGCGAGTTGCGCGACAAGCTTCTTCGATGCGGAGGGTCGATCTCTGAAGACGCCTTCGTGACAGTCATCATCGGCGGCCTTGGTCCTCAATGGCGCGCCACAAAGACCATTCTCCGAGCTCACGGAAGAATCTCCGAAGCAGCGCTCTGCGCCGAAATCCACGCCGAGCAGCAAGACATGGACCTGCAAGAAGAACGACACAAAAAGAAGACATCAGCACCGGAATTCGCGTTCCACACTCAGCGACGCTACAACAACAACAACAACCGGCAGCAACAACCGAAGCCAGTACCTCCGTTCTGCCACATCTGCAAAACTCCAGGACACCCGCGTACACACTGCCCAAATCGTCAACAGTCAACAACTCCACAGCGGCAACTACGACCTTCAAGCAACCAAATCGCCTCAACGCAAGCAAATCCCACGACCCAGATTCAAGCCTCAACGACTTCAACGGGACAACCTGCACAAGGAGCAAGAAACATCGTCAGCTGCATGGCAAAGCTGAGTGACTCCTGCATCACCGAGTCACCACCACACTACTCACCGGAAGAACAACTCGACGAAACCACACCCCGCCGCGAGTCACTTCAGCCGAACCCGACATACGCCGCCATCGCCCAAAGCGAACCATCCGGAAAAGACACATGGTTCTTGGACAGTTGCTGCGGACAGCACATGTGCTCCTCGGGACGCTTCGTTCAACGAGAACACCAACTTCAACGCGAAGTTGTCATTACAGTCGCCAACAATCAGAACCTGCGAACACGACGACAAGGCGTAGTTCAAACGTTATACTGCAGATGTCAAAAGTACTAATCGCGGAGGGACTCGGCTACAACTTATTGAGCGTCAGTCAGCTAATGGCGAAAGGGATTCACCTCGAAGCAGACAGCACCACCCAAGAATTCAAGCTGTATCATGGGAGAGGAGGACTTTACATCGGCAAGGCGGTCCTCAAGAACAACGTCTTTGTTCTTGATTTCGTCCCTGATCTTGGCACCGCCGACAGCGACGCCATCGTTAACTTCACCAACTGGACACACCCTCCAGACCTTGATCCAGACTTCAGTCCAGAAGGCTTCTGGTACTCACACACCATCCCTGAAGCAGAAAGAACAAGGGCGTTAGCAACAATTCAGACAACATCGGCAGCACCAGAGACAACATCGGCAGCAGCAGAGACAACATCGGCAGCAGCAGAGACAACATCGGCAGTAGCAGAACCATCAACGGCAGCAGCAGGAACGTCAACACCAATTGCTGGTCCTTCAACGACACCACTCCTCATCGACGACACACCACCGACACCCGCGCAACAACTACACCCAGCACCACAAGAAGTTCATCGTAGCGCCAACTTCACCGCCAACTTCTACTCCAACTCCGATATGTACCGACGATCACCCGGACATCGCGCCGACGAAAGCACCTGGCACGCAAGGATGGGACACCCAAGCAACACAGTATTAAACAATACGATAAGAGCAGGAGTACTCGACAAGGACTCACTCCTACTGACCGACGGACGAGAACTTCAACGAGTACGTGGAACGTGCCTCACCTGCCCTGAAGGTGACTTACCACATCGACCGTTCGCGTCTCATCACAACCCGAGCGCACCCGCGTACGCACCACTCGAGAAGGTGTATAGCGACATCCTGTACAATCGGGAACCAGGACAAGTAATATACAACTATACAATCACCTTCATCGACGCCGCCACCCGTTACGTCTGGCACCTAAACCTCCCTAGCCGCGACATGGCATTCGCAGCCTTCGTTGCCTGGCTACCAGTAGCAGAGAGAGAATCGGGCGTGAAACTGAAAAGCTTCCAGTCAGACAGAGGAGGAGAATACACATCTCAGCGATTCAAGCAGTACCTGGCGGAAAGGGGAATCAAGCGGCTCATCTCCCTTCCCTACGCCCATCAGCAGCAAGGTGTAGCAGAAAGAATGAACAGGACCTTGCAGAACAGCATGCGCAAACTGTTACGTGGCATGCGGCTACCCAACCACCAGTGGCCTGCGGCAATGGACCACGCCATCATGCTGCACAACTTGCTCTCGTCATCATCGCTTCCAAACAACGCATCACCGCATCTGCTATGGACAGGGAAACAGGGCAGCACAAAAATGTTACGAGTATTCGGATGCATGGTACAGTACCGACCCCCAGCAGCACGAGCGGGCCGATTTTCTCAACGAGCACAGTGGGGACTACACCTGGGAATCGAAAAGAACTACAACGCGTGGAAAATCTTCGACGTCCATTCCAAGGAAACAGTAGCAGCACGTGATGTAATTTTCTACGAACGACTCACGCTCCAGACATACCTTGCCAACCTGCAAGAAGACCAGGATCCCACAGGTGGTTTTCGCGGTGACCGAGCCTTCGCCTCAGCAACGGACGAAGCTGACTGGGACGAGCAGAATGTGGACAACGCATCAGAAGAAGCCGGACCTCTTCCATTCTGCTCCGTGGACGTTCCCATGGACGAAGATAACCCTCGCGAAAGTGTCAACGCCGAAACCTTCTACTATTTCGCCGACAACGGTTACGTAACACCTGCGACAGTCAACACCAACGAAGCAGAACGAGTAGGACCCAACTTCATACCTGATCCAGAAGCGGGAGATGAAGCAGCTTATCCCGAGGACGCAAATCTTCCCCGCTACTCACAGAGTGGACTGCAAATTCTCGGACTCGTCACCGCAGTCCACGGCACCGCCATTCCTAAAGAGCCTGCGACGGTTCAACAGGCTCTGGGGGGGGAGTATAAGGAAAAATGGCGCGAAGCCATGGACAAGGAGCTGAAGGCACTGGAGGAACGCAACACGTGGAAAGTGGTTCCTATCGGCGTGACACGGAACAAGACAGTGCTCACCGGGAAGTGGGTCTTTCGTGTGAAGACAAAGGCTGACGGCACCATTGACAAATTTAAAGCTCGCTGGGTTGTACGCGGCTTCGACCAAGAACACGGACGCGACTTCACCGAAACTTTCGCTCCAGTTAGCCGCCACACCTCACTACGCATTCTCCTCGCAATCGCCGCCATGAAGAAGAAGAAGCTGCGACAAATTGACGTCGCGAACGCGTTTCTCTACGCACCTGTTGATGCAGAAATTTTCGTCGAGCTACCGCACGGCTCCCACAGAGAACCCAACCAAGTCTGCCAACAACTCAAGTCACTCTACGGCATCAAGCAGGCTCCGCGACTGTGGCAACAGTACCTGCACGCTCGCCTCATCCGCATCGGCTTCAAGAAACTACCGCACGATCAAGGCATGTACCGGCTCACAAAAAACGACGACTACATCCTACTAATCGTCTACGTGGAC